AGGAATTTCATCTGACAACAGGAGAAATAGGCTTCCCCAGGGGAGAGCACACCCATTGGTTACCTAATACCAAATGGTCAGCTTTGAAAACACACACATACAAGTAACATTATACAGACACCTAAATAACAGTGCAAAGACAGGTCATGAATTTGAAAGTAAGCAAGTTGCATATGGAAGGATTTTGGGTGATAAAAGAGAAAAGGGAAATAATTTATTGCTAATATATTTTTAAAAAATAATTTTAAAAATTAAAAAAGAAATGTTTTTACTTTCCAGAAGTCTAAAATAAAGCAAACACTGTTTTGTCTCTATGTAAATGGTCAAGAGAAATTATGTCTTTATTTCCAGCAAAAGATTTTACCTGTATCTTTTAATTGTGATACCGTGGCCTGTTCCAACACCCTTCCTTGTTGGTGATACCTTACAGTACAGACTGGGGAAGATGTTGAACCAGAAATAGTCCTTAGCTACAGCATCAGTGTCATGGTTTTATTGAAAAACTCTGTCTGATTGAGTTACTGCTACCAGGTTATGAAAAACGTGTGTGTGTGTCATAGGCATTTTTTTCCAAGTAACTGTGTAAGAAAGACAATTTTTTTTTTTTTTTTTAGTTTTTCGAGAAAGGGTTTCATTGTGGCTTTGGAGGCTGTCCTGGAACTAGCTCTTGTAGACCAGGCTGGCCTCCAACTCACAGAGATCCACCTGCCTCTGCCTCCCTAGTGCTGGGATTAAAGGCGTACGCCACCAATGCCTGGCTAAGACAAATTACTGGCATATGTTGACAGGGTAGAAACTTTGAAGCAAAAATAAAGATATGCTTGGCTCGTGAGTACCTAAGACTTTGTGGTTTCATATCTCAGACTCCATCTACTTTTTAAGACTCAAGACCAACCTTAAATTTGTCATATTTATAACTCACTTTGCTTTGGATAATGTAAAAGACTCATGGCATCCTGAAAACTGAGTAAAGGGTGGAAGAAATGGAAGTCTCTTTAGGAGATAAAATTAGTGAGGAACAGGGTTTATGAAACTGAGATGCCTATTCCAAAGCAAAGAGAGTGAGATTGGTGAGAAAGTTTAGTGGGTAAGAGAGTTTGCTGTCAAGAATGATGACCCGAGTTGTATCTCATGGATCCACATGATGGAGAGAAAAGACTCCATCAAGTTTCCTCTGATGTCCAAGTACACGTGGTGGTACACACACGAGGGACAGGGAAGAGAGAAGAAATTCTTTGAAGCTATTATATAATACATAAAGGCATTTGGAAGCCTGCTCTCCCAGAATGGAATGTACTATTGCCAAGCCATTCACTAAGAAATATAATAGCTTCATCTTTCCACTTGTTGTAATTTCTGAACTGGAAGGCAGTAACTATATTTTTTTCATACAGATAACTGAAGAACTGTGACTAATTTCAGTGGATAACCATTGGGCTCATTTTGCCATCACATTTTTTTTCTTTGTTCACGTCAATTTTCTCCTTTGGCACATTCTTATTTGTTGTTGAGTACCCCACACTCACCCTTTGCTGCTTCCCTATTGCTGTCCCTCTACATGTTTCTCTGTGGAAGAGCATTTTTATTTCATCTCCCAACACATCATCCTTCATGCTAGCCACTTCTTCCCTGGCTGGACAAAGGATAAGTGCTTATGAGTCCCATGAAGTTGTTTTAGAAGAAGTGTCATCCCTAAAGGCTCGCACTTCAGGCTCCATTTCAGCAGAATCCATTGCAAAAGTAGTGTTGACTTTTGTAGAGTGAATGTCCAATTGTAACTACTTAGCTGAACAGAGATAGGAAGACGTACGTATTTATATATAAGGATTCCAAAATGTGGCCACACCTACAGTTCAAAAGAATAGTCTATGATCTCCTGACCCTGAATTCAAAGAATTTCCATATATAACTATACAAATACTTGGCATTAATGTGTGGCCAGTCTTTGTTTAGCTGTAGCAATTAGTCACCTGTGGATGTTGACCTGGGGTCAACAAGTGTGACTCTACTGCCTACATAACAGTGAAGATAGAATATGTCCCTGGAAAAAAAGAGGCTGTTCCTTGACCTGGATTTCTCTAGGATTTCTGTAGGATCCCAGAGACTCACAACTCTAATTTCATGAAATTTTACCCCTGACTCCCCATAGAAGAGAATGGGCATTAAAACAAGTATCTCTTCTCACCTACTAAGGACATAGCCATGTAGGGGATGAGAACCACGTCAGGTACACTACCAATGCGTCTCATCTTATTCAGGGGACAGATCCATTAGACTCAAGATACTGGTCTCATCTACTTCTGAAACTATCTTGCGTGGGTGTGTGTATGATATACTCAAGGGTGTCTACGAGTACAGTCATGAATGCACAGAGACCAGAATGCTCACTTTCGGCCACGTTTGAGACACTGTCTTTTCACTCATTTCTTCCAACAAGGGGAAGCCTGCCCCCCTGAATGCATCTGGTGATTCTCTGTCTCCCATCTCACTGAAGCAGTTCTCAGATGATGGGCGGCACCACCATGCTAGATCCTGTGTGGGTTCAGGCATCCTAACTCAGTCAGGTCTTCACGTTTTCCTGGGCACTACTCTACCCACTGAGCCATCTTCCCGGCCCTCATCTACCTTCCCACCACGCCAACAGATACACTGGTATTTGTATTGTTTCTTTATGGTTCATCTGCCTTTGTTCCTTGCTGTAATAATTTGTCCCCTCAACTAGAACCTTAAGAAAATATTTACCTTATTAGACTCTTTGCTCTTTAAGATAGTAATGTTAGCTGAAGAAATTGCCTTAAGCGTGATTTGGCTTCCAGTTATATTCCTAATCTCTGTTGGCTATGCATACAACACAAACAAATCATTCACTAAAACAGAAGAACTAACAGGAAATAAAATATAGCCTTTCTTCCTTTATCTGCACATATAATATGTTGGACATGGTTTTGTCTTTTGGAAAACTGAAAAGCCGAGACAAAAGAGAACTGGGAATAATAAAAGGAAGTAAGCTTGACAGCAGGCATAACTATTCCCTCAGAGGGAAGGACAGGGATGGATGTTACAGATAGCATTCTCATTTCTGCATAAAGGCCCTACCAAACATAACACAACTACGATACACTCAGACCACAGCTTCCAGTGGAGAAGACCGTGATGCCTGGGAAAATGGTAATGACATAGCACATAAAATTCATGTTGTAGAGTATGTGTAAAGTGCGATGCCATTTCAATATCCATTCATACGTGAGGAGAAATGACTTTGAAAGATGCAAAATGGACAGTGACAGTTTGTTCTCAAGAGAGAGGCAATGAGCTGGAGAGGTGGCTCAATAGTTAACAGCATTCGCTGCTCTTGCAGAAGCCCTGGGTTTGATTCCCAGCACCCAAATGGTGATTCAGAACTGTAACTCCATTTACAGGGGATCTGACGCCCTCTTTTGGCCTCCTTAGGTATCAGACACAAACATGGAGCCACAGACAAGCATGCAAGCAAAACAAAGGCATCTTTAAAGGAGAGTGAGAGCAAAGAGGAAGAGAAAGGAAATATGGCTATGTCTAATCACTGTTTCAAAGTCTTAGAGGGATGCACTTAGACATTCCAATTACACTTATACTGGGAAAGGAGAAACAAGGAAAAAGACGGAGCATTCATATTATCAAGAACAGGGGTTGAGTTTCTTTGTTTCCTGCATTAGCGTGAGGGACATTTATCCTGCTTCTGCCAGTTTTAAAACAGAAGCTTATATGTTAACCATTTAGTATTAGAAGGGCACGGTTAGAAATTCTGTATGCTTCTCTAAACGAGAAATTGTTAGCCACTGACAGCAGCCAGACTGATGCGATTTAACTGAACATTTTACTCTGGCTTAAAATCTACAAAAGAACAACAACAACAACAAAAAACCCCTCCATATATGAAACAGTAGTGTTATTCCCTAAAACTGCCAATGCTGAGCACCCTAGCATGGATACTCAGAGCCGCGGGAAGAAACTGAAGGACCTGGGCAGGCTCACATTGCCTGGAAAGTGAAAGGGGCGAGATGGAAGGAGATATAACCTCCAGACAGGAAGCTGCAGCAGCCACATTCTGGGATTTCCCACAGTTCCCGTGTGTCATCCGAAGATAGTGTGCAAATGTCATGTATGATGTTGAAAACTCAATTTGGGCGCCTGTTGACCAGGCCATTACTCAAAGGGTCTGGTGATTTGTTGGACACACATCATCAGAAAGCCATTCGGTCTAAGTTATTGAAAAATACATGTAGGAAATGTCTCTAGAGAGTAAGTTGAGTTCTTTAAATAGTGTCAGTTTTAAGATTAAACGACGGCTGGGGCTCCGAACATAGCTTTTGTTAAGCTACTAGAAAGAAATCTCTCAGATACAGATATAGTGCATGTGACCTTAGTGAAAAGACTTAAGGAGCCACAGAAAGTGTGACCTACAGTGTGTACTCAGCCAATGTTTGTTTTGAGGCTACTCCCTGCAGGATGGGGTCCCCTTCGTCTTTTCTATGAGCTGTACCCAACAAGACTGTTACTGAGACTCAAATAGCACATGCATTCATATGGATGATATTTGGCATAAAATCTAGATGAGATATTAATGAAATAGTCTGCTGCATTGACATTTTAATGGGAATTTCTGTTTGGAAATAAATAACTTTAATAGTTTGTGGGTCCTGTCACATCAGAGAAACGCATGGGTTCCTGGAAGCATACAAAAATAAACACTAAGCCCACGCCACAGAAAATGTACCCACTTGTAATTTGGAGCCTATGCCTGCCCCCCACACACCTACAGTATCTATTCCTCTAGCCCTCCTCTCTATTTCTCCCCCTCTCTTTCCTTCTTTTATCTTTTGGCTTTTGGTTCACAAAGTGATTTGTTGGAAGGGCTGAGTTCAAAGAAAAGAGGCCAAAGAATTTAAACATTCAACAGATTGTCATCTAGGTTATGTAGGTCTCTCAAGTGGCTGATCTTTCTTTCTGTTTAATTGCAGGTTATATTTAAAGGGTCACACGGGGACAGCAGGCAAACAGAGCAGCCTGATCCTTCACGGTGCTGATTTCAGCACGAAGGACGCTGACAATGACAACTGTATGTGTAAATGTGCCCTCATGCTCACAGGAGGTAAGTCCCAGGGGCTTTTCCCTGAGTTGGGTTTTGTTGGTTTGAAGTTTGGGCTTTCTTATCTCTAAGAAAAGGGTTTGATCTCCTGGTCAGGAAACTGAAGAGCAGGTCCCTAGAGATCATTTAGCTGTGCACAGGGGTTTACGCTGTTCCAGTACACGACATTGCTGGCATACTTAAAAGCTTGTCTCCCCCTTCATCTGGGATGGGAGTGTCCTAGGCTTTGTACTGAGTCAATTCTCAGGCTACCTGAAGTACTCTAGTTTTACAAAATGCCTAGGTTGCTGTAGGTGGTATATAGAACATCACTTCTTTCCAATACTTTACAACTACTCATTCAATGAATAATTTTCTGGATAGATACCACTTACCAAAATTAAATCAAGAACAGGTAAGCAATTTAAATAGACCTATAACCCCTAATGAAATAGAAGCAGTAGAAGCAGTCATCAAAAGTCTCCCAACCCACCCACCCCCCAAAAAAAAGCCCAGGGCCAGATCATTTCAGTGCAGAATTCTACCAGAAATTCAAGGAAGAGCTAATACCAATACTCCTTAAACTGTTCCACACAATAGAAGCAGAGAGGTCATTTCCAAACTCTTTTTACATTACCTTGGTACCCAAACCAAACTGTGAAGGAAACCTCTATTTAGTGACTCTTTTTCTCAGAATTGTAATAATTCCATTTCTTAATAGAAGAGTACCGTGACATTCTTTTTTTGTTACTCTAGAAAAATCTTTTCCATGTTAGAAAGAAGAGAAACTGTCCTTCCTCTAATGTGATGCATACGGAACTTAGTGGAAAATGCAGTGCTTGGTGAATGAGTATACAGTTTTTCATCCATGAAATTGCTCTCAAGTTTTAAATTTAATAAAATGAATTTTTTAAGTTGGCATTTCCATCACACATTACCAGAGCACAGAAAAACATGAAAAGTTTAGAGTCGTCTTTCCTTGAGGGGGGCCTTGTGGCTTTCCTCCTGCCTTGCTAGCACTATCAAATCACAGCCTCAAACCTATTTCGCTTACGGTGACATCATTTCAATATGCGATCAGCCTTGAACCAAGGACAACACGACATGAATCTCTTTCTGCCATATTCACTATCACACTTCAGTTCTGAATATGTCACTTGGACATCAAGCACATACATGTTACTTATATGTAACTCTGAGATCTACACCTAAGAAACATTACAAGTCTCAGAACTTGGGGTTGCCACAGATGTGTCTTGCATCACCACTCTGGTTCTATAACTAACATTATTGGTAGCTTTATACTAAGTTCAAGTCTTTATAGACTTGAAAGTCCCAGTTCCAGGCCTGTTGCTAGTTTTCAAATAGACTTCATATTTGCCATTTACATTTTGCCAGATACATTTTTCTAGTAAATGAATACAGTTCTTGAACAACCAAGAGTGAGATTCTCCAAATTTGTTCTTGGAAGAGCATCCTCTGTGTCCAGGGTGATGCAAAGAGGGAAACTCGCTTCTTGGTTGTTGAGAAATCACCACTGCTTAGAGTTACTTCTGCCTCACGTGACTGAACTCTGACAGACTCTTTCATCCATAATTACTCTTGGACTTGCTTCTCACTAGCTAATAAACACATATGTTGGGAAGAGAAAATCTCCACTTATTGCTTGGGCTAGAATAGTCTACATGAATGTGTTTTTGTAATAAACACCACTACCCTATCAAATATCCTTTCCAAAGAATCCAGGCCTTGCAAAGCCATTCACACTGAAAAGCTAAACTGTGGGATTCGGAGAGATGAGAACTGGAAGTCAGAGGCATGAACGTCAACGGCTGTCCAAGTCACTGGTGCATGGCCTGGACCATATGGCCTACAGGGCTACTGCCCACCACTGTCTGTTCCTCATCACATTTTCCCTTAGAAATTAGAGCACTTTGCTGTCTGATGGCTTTTCCTTTCCCTTTCTTTATAAATCGTGTTTGGGCTCACTCTTGCTTGACAGTGTCTCTTGTAAGCAAGGACCATGTCCACAATTTGAAAGTAAGACCTACAAGGGTTTGTCATCTGCTAAAGAGTTGAAGTAAGATTTAATACTCACTACCTTTCCTAGAGCATTTTATTTAAGGACATGGAGGGGTTTGAGTCCAAGGCTCTGGTGTCATTGTCACCTCCATCTGTTAAAGGTTGGAAGCCAGAAGATAAACTCATCTGAAAGCAGACAGTATTTTAGAGAGATGCAGAATAAGGAAAGCATTTTGAGTATCTTTCTTCTCTCCTGATATCCTTAGGTCTTTCTACCAATTGATCATATATGTAATGCATATGGGTCAAGAAAGTAAACTGCTACCCTGTAAATGAACTGAGTAGATTAGAGCTCATCTCAATAAAACAAAGAGGTTGTCAGAAAAACATACACACAAAGAACGAGGTGATTTTGAACCACAATAGCTTTGTTGACAAAGCATGAAATACGTAGAACTGTAAGAACCAAGGAAGAAACTTCTGATTGAGCATACAGGAGTCAGTCACTCGAGTGACCTGCTGGAAGGGTGGTGCCTTCCCCATTGTGGACATTTGCA